GAAAATACACATAAACAATAGGTACCAAAAATGTAATTTACTCTATATTTTACTTTGGGGCAGTTCACACTTCACATTAAACTTTGAACTTTGAACTTTGAAAAATACAAGGGTGTTATGTGTAAATTAAGAATGATAAAAAAAAAGTCAAAATAGGACTTTTAGGGTTGATTTTGACTTTTTTAAAACCGTCAAACAGTTAGGAATTATTGCTTTATTTTCTAGAGTTTGTTCCAGTATGTCTATTAATAAATGAGTGACGTTCATCTTCCAGATGCCTCTCGTCGCCATGATGTGTTGCTTATCCAATAAAACCATTTTCCGTATTTTTTTAATATAAAAAAATAACAGAAATTATATTAAAAATCGAACGCATCTTATTCGGTTTATCATTTGGACAAAAATTTGATTACCGACAGGTGCAACCGGCTCTATACGTAATCCGTCTCGAATGACGCCAACGTAGGACGTTTTCTTGGGTCACTTAGGACGGGGTGAGGGGGGATCAATTTCGAACCCGCGACCTGTTTTGTATTTGGACAAAGTCACCCAATTTATTTTGTCAAATACTTTATAATATAGTATAGATAATTGAATTGCATTAAGGACACAATTTATGTTTGACAAACTAGTTGTTTATTGTTAACTATCTGTTAGATGAAAAGTTGGTTGTTAATTGATATATAAACTAGTCGTATTTAATAAAATTTGATGATAATACTAAAAGGCTTTTGCCTGACGATATCTGACTTACCGGTAGACCAACCTACGAGCTGGTCAATAGTTTCTCGCCAAAGATAAAAATGGTGTGTGAGTTCATTTGCTATATTTAATTATTATATACTTAAAAGATAGATTATAATGCAAAATTACCAAAAAGGACATATGTTGAAATATTAATGGAAAAATATAAAGGGTATAATTGGAAAAAAAATTACATCCGAAAGCTTGCTAAAGTGCACCCTGAAGTAGTTTTTAAAAAAGTCAATTAAATAACATTTTTCAATAAGTTGGAATATGGTCGCTAAGTACGGTCATAGTTTGTTTTTTTTAATTGTAACAAACTTATAATATATTCTAAAAAGTAAAGGTTTTGAACGTAAGTCCTTTAAAATAGAAATAACTTGTTATTTTATGCGATTTGCATTTCTAGAATGAAAGACGACATGGTTCGTTTGTCTTTGAGCTTGAAATAAGAAAAAGAAAGTCAGCATCAAATGCAATGAATCTCAATCCGTTTGGCTTTCGTAAAATTTTGATTAAAAAAATATTCGAAAATATACCGGTATTTTAAAAATAGATATAACACACAACGGCATTTTATAGCATTTAAACGGAATCGAATTTGAGACCTCATCGTGAATGTTGGTATTACCCCCTTGAGTCTTGTCGAGTGAGGTTGGTAAGATCATCGACAACCGTTCAGTAGCACTGCTTTCTACGGAAATCAGTAAAATACATGTATAGAAATATATTGTTGAAAATTACAAAATGGTTGACAATCTGTTAACTATATGTAGATCTAGGAGTGTGCATCTAACTAAAAAAGTAATCAAAATCGAAACATATAAAACAATTGAATCAAAAAACGAACCAAACTAAAACGGTTCAACTTTGGTTTGGAATTTTTGGCATCAAACTGTACTATAAATAAAGTATACGTTTAGGTTTGTTTTAATTTCAAGTTTGAAAATATAGAAAACATCTGCACTGCCAATATCTGAAAAAAGGTCGATAATGGTGCTTCTTAATCATTATAGACAAAAGATATTATGTGGGCAAATGTAGACGGTTGTACCAAATGATTCGACGATAATCACTTACTATAAACGGCATTAGAGGTCGTTATCTAAGATTATGTAAGTCGAGATCATACTAGTGGACTTTTATGATCAAAATGAAGATTTGGGCCAGGGTCGAAATGATAAATCAAAGGAAATCTTGAGATACAAACAAAAGTTGAATTTTAACGTTCTTGATACACGTGACTTCATTCTATAACTCCAAGAGCTTAACTGGTTTACCTGAAATATTTATTATTTTTTTTGGGATTTTTAGATATTGTCTACAGTATCAAATTCCTGTTTACATTAACTGATAATAAATTTATTATAAAATCGATCTAGAAACAAAGGAAAACGTTAGAGGATTGTACTCTCATCCCTACAACTATCATTACAGATATAGTCACTGATAGCATTTCTTGTTAACTGTGGTGTCCAAGTCAGATCGTACGTACCTCGACTAATGCAGGTGCTTTGAAGAACAACCAGAAAAACCCTCAGTGACAGTACAAGACTCGAACTGACCTATAAAAAAAATTCTCAAAAATCTAAGTCTTATTATCATTTTTCGCTAACCTCAAAAGGTTAATGATAACATTTTTAACCTCATGTTTTGGAATCATTTTGATCATAAACACAATTGCCACTTGATCTTCAAATTCAAATGACATGAAACACATGTTCAACTTGAGGTGGGAATGTGAAATGATGTTCTTGAATTTATATATATATATATATATATATATATATATATATATATATATATGACAAATCAGCTAGTTGTTAACTAAGAAATTAACTGATGGACACATCATATTTTGTAAAAAATATCTGAGAAGTTTGATGAAAAATGTAGAATGATAAAAAATGACATCTTCAAAAATTAGTCAATTACAACATTTTATAATATAATTAAAAAACAAATTCCTAATAATATCATATGCTAATTAATATAAACAAAGATCGTAAAAGAAAATTAAATAATACAATATGTTAATTAAAGTTATTCAAATTAATTATTATATATATTATAAATTTTGGATT